GGAGGGGGGGTGTGAGTGCGGGAGGGGGGGCCAGGAAAAAAACAAAGTTAGTGAATATGCCATCGGTCTTGAATCAGAACTGCAAGGGGCTTCAATTAAACACCAAAAAAAGCATCTCTGACACGATGAAACAATTCAGTGCTTTGGAACAAGCTTATGTTTTCTGTTGGGTGGATGTCCTTTGAACTTACAACTGCAAAAACAATAACAGAAGTCACTGTATCATTTTCTCGGGAAGTAGCTTCAATAACCTAAGTTGATTTTGATGGAGACATAAAATGTATCAACACTTTGCCCCCACGGGACGCTGATTGGCGACAGTGTGATGATACAGCAACAAAAAACGTTGCAGAAATGATATCTTTTGACAAGCAGATTAGCGAAAGTTAAATTTCTTTTCTGAATGGCTTGTGTGGCCTTTGAGGTGGAAAATAATTTTGAAAAATGTCTAGACCTAGCATGAGTGCTGCTTTATTCTTATGCCATGAAGAGAATTTACGTGATGAATGAGCTAGGTCTAATGTTCTCAGTTCCGAATCTAATTCCTTTTCTGGAGAACATGCTATCATCACTTTCAATGTTCTCAGTAGGCTGAAATTTTAATAATGGTTGGGGCATTTTTGCTGAGGTACAGGTGTAGTACTGATGTAGCCCATCTGTATCCTGGTCCATGGGGACAAGTGTAGTGTGCTCTGTGCGCTGCCTGGGTGGAAAGTGTTAAAACATTAGAGCGAGCGACGATGAGCTTTCTCACCTTCTCATCCGGCCCCGAGTCCTTCAGATCCGGGAAGAGCCAGATGATCATTTTCCGCACGTCCGCGTGGGTTTGGAACAGGATGAAGAGAAGCACCATGAAGTAAAAGACGCTGAGGCCTGCCAAACACAACCAAACATAATTCTTTGAAATACAACAGATCCTGGTTTTTATTTTTTTTAACTGCTTTAAAAAAACAAGTTTTAGAAAATTTCTCTCTTGGATTTCAGATAATAATCAGTCAAGGCATCTAGAAAGAACAGGCAAGTTTGAGATGATTTAAGGCAAAGCTGACAAATAGAGACAACTGATTTGTGAGGGTAAATTGTTTAGTTAGTTTTAGTAGAGGTTTTACGGCCCCCGCAACTGCATAAGGTCATATGAGCACCTGAAGATTAGAGGTGTTAAAAGAGAGAAGTAACAAACATAAAAAAGAAGGAGGGGAGATAAGGGCGACAGATGTTTTATAGGAAAGAAGAAGCAAACCACACCAGAGCACCCGCCAACCACCCACGGGTAAATTGTTTGAGTAAGTGTTTTACGGCACTTGCAGTTCACAATAAGGTCATATAAGTGCCGAAGATTAAAGGTGATACAAGAGAGTAGCAAACAAAAAAAAGAGGGGAGATAAAAACGATAGATGTTTGATAGGAAAGAAGGAGCAAACCACATTAGAGCACCCGCCAAGCACCCACATGGGTCAAGAGAAGAACATTGACTCAAGAACAGTCCAGAAACAAAGCAAGACCAACAAACAGAAACAACAGAGGGAGAGGGAAGAAGAAGCAGGAGCTACCAGTGGCAGCCTCTGACGTGTGTTGAGTAGAGAGAAGCAAACACAAGGAAGGTTGACTTTTTTTCCCATAAGAGTTTTACCGCACTTACAACACAATAAGGTCATGTAAGTAAGTGCCGAAGATTAAAGGTGTTATAAGAGAGTAACAAACACAAAAAAGAAGGGGGAGAGAAAAGGATGATAGATGTTTGATAGGAAAGAAGGAGCGAACTACACCAGAGCACCCTCAAACCACCCACATTTGTAGTAACATATGAGCAAAGTGAAGACAGACAGAACAGTGACTCTGGCTGGGCTACAACAACACCTCACATCACTAAATCCTTACAGAGAATTTATTTTTTATAGTTTTAGTAGAGGATTTACGGCGCTCACAACTGCATAAGGTCATATGAGCGCCAGAAGATTAGAGGTGTTACAAGACAGTAACAAAAATACAAAAGAAGAAGGGGAAATAAGGATGATAGATGTTTCGTTGGAAAGAAGAAGTAGAAGCAGACCACACCAGAGCACAAGAATTTGCTATAATCACTACTACCAAAAACATATTAAAAAGAGAAAAGATGCACAGCTTTATGATATCAATTATACTACGCTTAGGTTTCTATTCACCTCACTAAAGATATACTTTCCTGACACTGAACAAGCATACATCACAGAAACGACTCCAACAAAGGACAGAATTGAGAACTACTAAACTACTCACCAAACACAATCCTCCACATCGCAGGGTGGGGTCGTGTAAAAGGGCCTGAAAATCAAACATACAAAATTAGTCGTTGTTGTTGTTGTTGTTATCGATCCAGCGACAGCTGGGCTCTCGCCCTTCTGTCCAATGTCATGTAGTGATAATAATAATAATAATAGATAGTATTTGTATAGCGCAAATCCTCGCCCAACAGCAAGCTCTATGCGCGTCACAATCTATACTATTACCCCAGCAGACCTGAGAGCATTCTGAAACAACCTCAACTTCCTGGGAAGTATACAGTGCAAGCTGCCATTTATGGGCGCTAATACACTACTACTAACATCATGACAAGATCTTTCGCTGTCTATGGCAGGTTACCCATTCCCACTTGGAAGAAGTGAGGAAAATTCATGAAAAGTGCTTTTCTCAAGGATACAACGTCAGGCCCGCGGCTCGAACCCCCGAGCCCGCAACCTCGCGATTACGAGCCCAGTAGCCTGACCACTCGGCTAGTATTATGTAGTGATAAGTGCAGATTTGCTGCAGTTGCTGTAATGTTCCATAGAGTGTGTTGTCAATGTTAGGTCAAGGAGGGAGACGGGTTGTTAGAGAATTAGTAGAACAGGAAAAAATGAGACCACTGTCATAAAATCCGCTCGGCTCTCTCGACCATTCCGCAGACTTGAACTGTTCTTGACACTTCACCAAAAACAAGTGTGTGCTTACAATAGTACAAGAGCGATAGTTTCCAACCAGGGAAGCAAGGTCTCAAACCTTATCGTAATGAATGCATTTTTTAAAAAAAATTTATAACGGCATTGCCTAACACTATTTAACTTGTCTAATGGAGCTGTAATGACTAAACTAAAAAATATAATAGTGTATGAAAATAATACAGGTAATCATTTTAACATGATCATATACACACTCACAACAAAAAAATGTGATTCTTTGTGAGTTGACTACAGAGAAGCATTTTATATCAACGCAGTAATCATGGTTATTTAATGTAGGGAAAGAGAAGACAGACAGACAGACAGACAGACAGACAGACAGACAGACAGACAGACAGACAGACAGACACTCAACAATAGTAAACAAAAACTAAACCTCTCATCTCCCACCTGTGTTATAATAACACAACCCTACAAACTAATCAATGAAACTACACTCAGCTCTCCCAGTACGCTAACGCACACACACTGATGCACATACAAGCTTAGAAAGAAAAAAACCCACACACATACACACTCACTAGCACTGACATACATATATATATGATACAAACACATAAATTATGAAAAAACATATAATCTTTTACCAAAAAAAACCCAACTCCACAAATCAAAGTAGTGCGGGAGAGAGTAGTCTAGTAGGACCTACCATTCGGAAAAGCCAGCACACTGATGATGAGGAAGAAGAAGAGGACGCAGCAGAGTCCATTCCAGTTGTTCTCCTCTTGGCTGCTCTCATCTCTGCAACACACACGGAAACAGTTCTGTTTTTGTAAGAGTTTTACGCCACTTGCAACACAATAAGCTCACATTATTATATTTTGGTATAATTATAAGTGCCGAAGAGAGTAAAGAGAGTAAAGAGAGTGACAAACACAAAAAAAGGAGGGGAGACAGTTTTAGTTTTAGAAGTTTTACAGCACTTGCAACACAATAAGGTCATAATGCCAAAAATTAGAGAGGTGTTACAAGAGAGTAACAAACACAAAAAAGAAGGAGGAAAGATAAGGACGATAGATGTTTGATAGGAAAGAAGAAGCAAACCACACCAGAGCACCCGCCAACCACACACACAGAAGCAGATTATGCCAGTTTACAACACATAACATACAGTAATAATGATATATATATGTAAGCATTTTGTAGCGCAAATTTCCGCTCAACAGCAAGCTCTCTATGCACATTACAAACTATAATATTACCCCAGCAGACCTGATAGCATTTTATGCAACAATCTCAACTTCCTGAGAGGCATACATACAGGGTACAATCAATAACTCAAGAATGTAGGACAGAATTAGGGGATTGTCTTTTCTCATTTTGTATTATGGTGGCGGTAAGAGTTGGTAGCAAGCTCTTTTTTTTGTTCCTTTTTTTTGTTTTTACACCCCCACCAAAACAATTTAGATCATCAGGGAGGCTCGTTTCCGACCATGCCCGCCAGGGACAAGACCCCAGCAAAAAGACCCGAGGAAAATTTCTCCCCACTCGGGAATCAAACTTGGGTCTCCTGCTTGCAACAGCAAAGCACCACACTACTACACTACAGACACGGGTGAGTGAACGATGACGTCCAACGAGACACACATATCACATTTTGCAGGTAACGTACTAGGGTCGAGTGGATAAAAGAGTGAAGGAGGGGGCTCTCGTGGCCTAGAGGTTAAGGTGTTCCCCTCTCATTCAAAGGTCCCGGATTCGAATTCTTGTCTAAAAAATAGTCTAATTTCACTTCCTTTACTGCTCTCAAACGAGGAATCAGGGTTACTCTGCTCATCTCTCTAGTTATACACCACAAAGTCTGCTCCGATTATCACAAGGTACCCCGGAAATAGCAGTTCACAAGAGAGTGACAAATATACAAAAGAAGTAGAGGAAAAATGACGACAGTAAGGAAGAGGTAAGAAAAAGCAGCAGTTCCCCCTATGCTGTTCCGGCACAGTATGAGCATGACATTGATAATTTACAGAGCATGACATTGATTCATTGATAATTTACAATAACAATTCTACTGTGCATTATAAGAACATGTTATTATCCCCCCTTTGGGAGTAGCCTAAAGACATCGTCAGTAAGTAGCGAAGTGCAGTTCTGAAAATATAACAATAACAAGTGAGTATAAAAATGCTCTTCAGTTCAGGCATTAAGTTTATAAGTTTAAAAAAAATTCCAACATAATAATGCCTTCCGGGCAGATCTCTTTAAGATGAGATCATGATACAGTACACAGTGACTCTCTCAAAATCACTTGAAAAATATGGCATCAAATAAAGGAAACATTCAATTCATTCATAATTCAAGATATAATATTATAATATTATTGTTGTAAAAGTCTTTAAAATATAACGAACGAGAGCAAGCAATCTCCCAACGAAATCAATACAGTCATTAAACTTGTGACTTTGACACCCGAGACAAATGAGACCTGAATCAGGAAGTATCGGTGTCAATCTAATACAATGTACAAGCTGTCGCTGGCACAGTCCATAGTTTTTTTGCATAATATAACAGCTCCCACATTACTTACTATTATATTTGCTTTCAAACAATTTAATAAACGTTCGGCTTTGTTGCTTTTTTTTTTTTTAGGTAAGTGTATTTCATGGCGCTTGCAACTGCATTGGGTCATAATACGAGCGCGTGGTTCACACAAACAAGAATCAGTGTGACAGGAATTAACTTTGAATTATGGCGGGTGGCTGCTAAAGCCTACTCTTACTATAGATTTTAGGACCAACAAGGGATTTTTAACAGGCCCAACTTGCTACCCGGGCAAAATTCAAAATTTCCTACCAACTGAAAATGTTTAATGTGTCCCACGCGCTAATATATGACCTTATTGCAGTTGCGAGCGCCGTAAAATACTTACTTACCAAACCCAAACACCCCCCCCTCCTCCGATTTTCTTGTCACGAGTCCCAAGCCTGTACAAACGGGTAGACCATCAACTAAACCAGTATAAGACCCGTACGGCGGTAGACCATGCCGTTAACTAAACCGTAACATTGATATCTATCTCTACTATGATTAAATGCACACCAAAATAATATTATAAACAACTGTTCAAATTTTCATCAGAGCACAGATGGTCATGGGCGGTAATTCACTGCCACGGCAGTTGTATCACATTGTGGGCTGCTGTTGGGAGGGCAATATAAACCCTCTCTGCTCCCCCCCCTCCCTCTCTACCCCCCCAAATGAGACACCATGTCACGAGTCACAAAAGCCTTTGATCCTCATTATGCATTTTTTATACACACACTATTATTTAATTAATGAATAATGCCAACCTCAAATGACTGTTTCAAACAATGACCCATTGTTTTTTTCCTTCTTTTTGAATTCCTCTATGAGAGGGCTGTTACTCACAACACAAAGTGCAGCCTGAGTATCTTTTGATACCCAGGTCAAGCCACGGTTTGTCTAGTCCCCTTGGCTTTGACTTTGGTGCAACTAGTGTTTTTCTAAGCGAGCGGGTACAGTGGAGTCGCCTTCACCTCACCATCCCCTCACCAGCACCAAACAGTCACCTGTTTGCGGCCTGCCAACTCTGGAATCTAATTTGTGTAACAAGGTCTACTGTTGCACGAGACAGAGTGGAGGCCGCTCACTCTTCATGCACCATCACCAAACATCGCACCAAAAATAGTTGGGACTTACACACTAACTTAGTCATCATCATCATCAGGAAACCTAAGGTTTTAATCCAAACAAGATCAGGTCTTTACTTCATGACAAGACTGATTCCAACGACAATATACGCACGCAAACACACAAGCACATGCACACACACAAGCACACGCACACACACAAGCACACGCACACACTTGTAAGCACACGCACACACATACACGCATGCACACACACAATACAAGCAGAAATAATGTTGTCCATGTTGTCGATTTGTTACTTAACTAACATTAAAGTTGCAATCGGAACATGGATTACGAAGATACTTTTCTGCGGCAACAAATGAAAAACGCAGTACGTCTTTATCTTGTATTGAGTGTTAAAGCACATTATATCTGTCTTGGCAAGGAGCCTTAAGATTCTCTTGAATTGGAGTCATTCATATTAAATTAATGCTTTTCGATAGTTCTTTGGTTGTTGTGATAGATCGATTCTGAAGTTGCCTCATTTTCCTCACTTTCCATCACGGTAGATCACCGAGGCTCATGGATCAGTATAAAAAGTTCAGAAGAACTGCAATTGCCTTCCTGTCATTTGTAGCAGACTCGGGCTGCAACCATCTTGAACGGTGACATGGGAAGGGAAAGCGACTCCACTCTATTCCCTCCTCTCACCTTCTTTGGTGCGCACCAAAATGGTCAGATGTTGGTGAAAGGATGGTGAGGTGAAAGCGACTCCATCACTGTGCCCACACGACACAAATACACACACACACACACAATGTACACTCACGCACGCATACTCACACACACACATGGGCCACTCTATTTGCAAATTATAACCAAAAAATCTCGAGAACGGAAACTATTCAGAGAACTGACTGCAAGCTTATTATCCTGAGCGTTCGGAGAAATAGAGCCTACAAAATTCGGAGGGGGGGAGGGGGGGGGGAGTTTGGCCGGTTTGTATTTTTTTTTAAAGCCTCTAGCCTACAAGTAGTACAAGGATTGCATCACAGAGAGAGTCAGACTAGATTTCTTAGATCGAAGTGACTATTCGGACTCGAGTCCGAATATGAAAAAAATGTTATTCGGACTCTGATTCTTGTCCAGCATGACCATCACTTCCGACTTCCTGTGACTCGTGACTCCGGCTTCCTGTCCTGCCTCACTCGTGACTCGCCTCAGGCTGGGTAGAGACCGGGATCACTTCGGGCAAAATGGCGTTTTGTGCAGGAGGAGCTGAGTTTTTATCTTACGATGAATTTGAGGCCGGCCTGAAAAGTTATAGCGCTTCTAATAAATGTTTATTTGTCAAGAGGTCACCAGAAGCAATTAAAGATGGCTCGTTAGCGTGTGTCGGGGTCGGAAGGGCGGCCTGCACACGTGTCGCTGTGTGTAGTGTGTGTGTCGGGGAGGGGGGGGGGCACTATCGGTCCGGGCGTTGAACGTCGCATACGCGTAGACTGTCTTTACCCCCGGCAACTGATCATTATTACAATAATAAGCTAGTCTTGACGTAGATCTACGTAATGAATTGTGCGCTGGTCTATGGAATCAAAAGTTGCCGTATGCTTGGCTCTACACAGCAACACAACTCAACTTTTTCTTGGTAAACAATCGAGATGACACAGTCTTGTGTTTTTGAACGAATCGGTCTTTTTTTTTTTTACACAGCTCATAATGTGGTCTGCTTTTATCTTAAATTTTACCTTTTTCTACAACAAAGAAAGTGGGAAACATGGGGGGTGGGGGGCGTATCAATGAGGCGGCGGGCATTTGATCGGCAGATAAGGTGTGGGGGAAACTAAAAAATGGCGGAAAATTGGAAGCACTTTAAAACGTTAGATCTATAGAGCGAAGACACTTCCTTTCTTCCGGACCCGAGTCCAAATAACATTTTTTCATATTTGGACTCGAGTCTGAATAAGAATTTTTTTTATTCGGAAGTCCGAATAGGAAAAAGGCCGGCCCTATTTCTCTGAACGTTCGGGAAAATAAACTTGAACTCTATTTCTCCGAACGGTTTCCGTTCTCCAAATTTGTTGATAATAAGCGAATGGAGTGGCCCGTGTGTTTGTGTGTGTGTGTGTGTGTGCATGTGTGTGTAAGTGTGTGTTTGTGTGAGTGTGCATGTGCATGTGTGTGTGTGTGTGTGTGTACAGTGTGTGTGAGTGTGTGTGTGTGTGTGTGTGTGTGTGTGTGTGTGTGTGTGTGTGTGTGTGTGTGTGTGTGTGTGTGTATGTGTGTGTGTGTGTGTGTGTCTGCGTCTGCGTGAGTACACGAGTGTGTGTAAGGTGTGAACGGGTGGTGGGTGGGGGGGGGAGCGTGGAGGAATTTTTTTTTTACCTGGAGGATTTTAGTTTTTCCTGGGAGACTGAATGCAAAATAGGTTACTGCCAAGGTCGAGCAGTCTTGGAGCAGTCTTGTTTTCTTCGCAAGATCTAGTTCGGGAAGGTTGCCCAACCACAACTGAAGTATATATCTAAATATTCAGACATTTAAAAATCTCTAGCTCTAGATCTAGAAATTGAATTTGATGCAAAAAATGCTTCTTCCCAGTCCTCGCAGAAGGGCAAAATGAAAGGATGACGCCTAAAATCTCGTATAACGGAAAAAAAAATCTCGAGATCAGGAACCGTTCACACAGAAATAGAGTTCAACTTTATTTTCCAGAACGTTCGGAGAAATAGTCACTTCGTAGGAAAAAATGTTATTCGGACTCGAGTCCGAATAACGACGTCCTTATCTAGATCTAGATCTAGAGTCAGAGTATTTAATTCTATTTCCCTGCCGTGACAACACTAGAGCTAATATCTAGATCTAGATCTAGATCTAGAATCTAGATTATTAGAGAACTCTTGATTCTAGATTTGAACAGTCTAGCTCTATTATTTCACTATTTAAAAGTTATTATTTCACTATTAATTAGAAAACTAGAAATCTAAACCTTAGACTAGCCTAGAAACTAGATTACTAGCTAGGTTACAATACTAGTCTAGCGAAGATCTAGATTAGATCTAGAATCTAGAGATTCTAGATCTACATCTAGATCTAGATATCTATTCTAGATCTAGAATCTAGATCTAGATCTAGAATTAGATCTATCGAATGACAACACGTAACTGGTCTGTGATGTTGATTTTGTGTGTGTGTGTGTGATGATGGAGTGGGGGGGGGGTGGGGGGGGGGGGGGGGGGGGAGAGCTCCACATTTCATGTTAAATGTTACAATTATTAACATCATCAGCTGATACCGACCAGTTATTGGATTCAGGGTCAAAGGTCAAAAGCATGCATGCATTATGGAACAGCAGATCGAGAGGAGTATCACTCCACTTCTTTGGCCTGTGCAGGCTGCAGACTCACTGAAGCGTTAAACTAAGACCCAGTTCTTTCACGTCCCCTTTGACCTCTCTAGAATACACACATGTAAATCTAGATCTAGATCTAGACGGAATAAATCAGTTGATGACCTTAGCGATGGCATAAAAAGAAAAGTCAAGAACTCATCAAATTCAAAAATGTAAAACAGGGCTCGTCTGGGACAAAATTCATACCACGATTTCTCTACTCGACTCCGAAACATTTTTTCTAATGACGGTCCCGCCGGAGCCTCGGCCTCACACAGCCTCAACAAGCAGACGAAACACAAAAACAATGGCACATTGGGGAGTGACAAGCGTGACTTACCTCGTGAAAGCGAAATATATTAGTCCAGATATACAAGTTACGAGTAATGTGATCGTGTGTGGTTTGTAAAAGAAATCCAACGAGATATCATCAACGCTTCTCTCGTTGATGATAACTCTGAAGTACTGGTCATCTTCGATCACACTTTCCTTCGGCGACGGTGCCATTTCTCCATCTGATAAAAATTCGGATGATACTCTCCGTTATAAAAGAGTGCAGCACGCTTTTTATTCTTCAGGGGCGCTCACTCTGTAATATTGCTCTTTTTGGGACAGGCAGTGGTGGTGTCCCTTATAGTATATACCAGAGACACTAAATTAATAATTAAATACTTTCTGTTTATACGTATGCTTTGTCAAAAGCCGATAAAGGTTTTTGAAGTTGAACTATACACGCATGTGGTTTAACTATGCCCACCCACCTCATGTAGCGATCCAACTTGCACTGACTGGTCACAACTCTCTGCTCT